TACGATTTAGAGCAACTGGTGGAAAGCCAATAGGGAACAATGACTACTGGCCCTTAAATAGCGAGGTTGCGAGCAGAAGGGCATTCTGCTGCTAGGAGACACAAGACTCTTTTAGCCGAGACCGACGACAGAACCTTCTGCTGCTAGTGACACCCAACCTGCTGTTGGCCGAGACGCGCTACCGACGACAGAAGACAACGCTGATCTAAAAGCAGAACTAGTAACAATTAAGTACTATCTGCTATCTTGTTCTGCCTTCTCTTCCTAACACGCAAATGGGGAGGCATAACCAGTGTTGACTTAGGAGCACACAAGGTTATAACAGTGGACACCATCGGAGCCGATGTTCGAACTATCATCATCAAGTAGGGCCACCGGAAGGTCGGGTTTCGTCGGTCTTGTCCGCGTCATCAAGCATAGTGCTGGCGAGCTCGTCGCGACAAGTTGCGTCTTGGACGGCTGTGGTCATCCAGCCCAGCAGAAATCATCCGCTGCCTTGCAAAGGTCAAGGCCCGTGAAACGTCACCAAGAGTACCTGTGAATGTTACTCAGTTGTCAGGATTGACGTCCAATCGCGGATATTGATTTAGTGTTAGCTGTCACTCCTAGTAGTATGTATCCGCGCCCACAGTGAGCCATTCCCAACACGTTACCGTGACGTCTCAAGTCCAGCAGACTAAGTTAAAAACGCTGTCGGGAGACCCTAAAGTCAGAGAGTGCTAGCAGCTGGCGAAAATTCCTGACTGCAGAGACCGTGTGTAGATCCATACCCAAAATAATCGTCAAACGTGTCGCGTCGCGCTGATTTTTGCTCCTCTCGTTTTGTCTTAGTCTATGGGTCGACTGCATCTTGCCTGACTTGATAATTACAGCTAGTCCAAGCAAGTCGGACACGGATACGTGAACCCCTACCAAGGTTCAATCTTTTAGGTGAGGAACCGTGGTGCTCGAATATACATGAAATGGAGAAGTCTTGTATATCCACAGCCGCTCCTTAAAACAGGATGAAAAGCAATTTGAGGAGGGGGGTACGCATATCTGTGTTCTCTCACTCAGGCAGGATTCAATCCGGTTAGAAATGCACATACATTAGCAGCATATAACTTTATGCGGTTTTAAACTGAACCAGCTATATGTCAAAATAGCTCCAACGGTAAATATATGGCTACTTAAGTAATATGCGTTTAACTCATTGATTTTCACTGCCCCTATAAATTTAACTATATACGTTGTAGAAAGCATGCACGAAAATATTTGTTCTTGTATTGCTAGCAAATTACGTCTTTTTTTAAATTTTATACTTAGAGAAAGGGTATCTTTTAGTTTTAAAAAAGTTTCTAAATTGTCCAATAATTTTTAAACCTACTGGCTGCTACACTTGAATTCAAGGTTTAAAAACCGCGCGATGTGTACATCCTGTTTAAGGAAAGGTACATTTTTGCCTACGGTTTGAGGAAGATTTCACGGAGTTCTCATAAAATATTGCAACAGATGTGGAACATGCTGTGCACATTATAGGCAGCGTTAATAAATTGACGGATGAGCTGTATAAGAAATGACCATCTCACAATCGTGAAAAAGCTCATAATTAGAAAAATTTTAAAAACCGAAAGATACCCTTTCTTTAAATGTAAAAGTTAAACAGAGCATAATTAGCTACCAAACGTGTATAAGAAATAATTTTTTCATTTAGGTTTTCTATAGAATATATTTGAATTTATAAAGACGGTCATAATCAATGATAAAAATGCATACTACCTAAGTAGCCACTTTATATAGTACACACTGTTTGATAGCGGTCAGAAGGAGGCTCGTTAAAAAGCTGGAATCCTGAAGTGACCAAAATATATTAAGAGTAGGCTGTATGATCGTATTTGTAACAACAATACGTAATTAATATGTTCGAATCGCATTTCAGAATTCCGGGTGACATTTCATGAGATAGGGAATCTACTGTACGCTTCTACTTCATTACGTAGATAACGATGACAGGCACTTCTATGGCAGACGTCTGAATGGCTGGATTTCAATTATCAGCACAAAAAGAGTGGTCTACCTGAGGTAGCGACATCTTTAATCTCGACGCCTCGTGACTGGGCCATGAAGCCAAGAGTGGCGAAGACCACGAAGCCGGCGTAGATGGAGGTAGCACAATTGATGCATGACACTAGAATTGCATCCCTAAAATAGAATGAGTGCAGTGTTTTTTAAAAGAATCTACGCACCATCAACAAAACTGAACCTGGCGGCAAGCTGACAAATTAACTTCAAAGAAAACCAAAAAGCGAGTATTTAAAAACCCTATTTTGTGCCAGAAAGCACATAAGAAACGTTGGGGAACACAATGAGCCACTGGTACTTCTGACTGAATCACCAGAAGTCCCGGATTTGAATTTCCAACGCTTCAAACCTGCGGCTGAATATGGTTGACGGATGACGACTAATAAAACTGGAACTGATCATCACATTCGCCGTCGGTACAACTTTCAGTGCATGTCTACGGTCGCTATGCGACTGCCTCTGTGGGCTTCAAATTGGGTCTCAAGGTGTAATGGGATAGGGGTTTACCGCAAACCGATCGGGGATTTAAATTCGAACACAATATATGTGCTAAAGCAAACTTATATTTATTTTGGGATGCCTACCTTACAATACACACATAAAGGCAGACTGATATTACGGACAAAGACAAGAGATTGAAAAGTAGAAGAGGACCCGATCGCTGGGACAAGATGTTTATTCGCCTGACGTTTTGAAATCTGTCGCGGATTCATCATCAGAGAC